GTGTGTGTGTGTGTGGTGTGTGTGTTTTGTGTGTGTGTGTGTGTTGGTGTGTGGTTGTGTGTGTCGTAGCCATCGGTCCATTCCAGGATTTGAAAATTAGTTCAGCCCGTTCCCCTAATGGCTCCATAGATCAATTGCTCTGGTTCCATTTAGTAATCAGAGGACAGCTGTAGTCGCGTCCCTCAAGCCACGCAAAGAAATTACTCACTTTATGAAGAAACTGTAAATTATATTTTCACTGCGGAAGGGGAGGGGAGGGAGGGAGAGGGAAAAAAAATTGGGGGAAACCTAAATGTAAATTTAGAGCGCAAACACACACACACACACACACAACACCACCACACACACACACCACACACACACACACACACAACACACAACACACCACACACCACACACACACACACACACACACCACTGAGGTTACAGTTATGGTTACAGTAACTGGACGAGGTCGTCCTGTTTTAATCCAGGTAATCTGCTACTTAACTAACATTATTATTGTACAGATTAACATCCGTAAGGTTGTTGACTTAAACAGATAAACTCCAAACCACTGGCTCCTACATTTCCCATAATGCAACGGATAACTGCTGCCATTTATTACACCCTTCCTCCTGCTGGTAAACACCACACCGCTTCCAAACGCCACACCCCAGTTTGTAACGCAGGCTTCTGTTTACACATCTGTGGTCTTAAATATGGCTGGAGATATTATCATCGAAATCAAAACAAGTACAATATACAAACCAAATCACAGAAGCGCCACATTTTTAGCTAAAGTAAAATGTTAAGTGAACACGTTATGAGAACGTACTGTAGTGCCGCAGAGACGCTATGGACTACAAATCTTGTTCTGAACAAATGCAACAGCCAATCATGATTTCATTGTTTTTTTCTGTAAAAATGAAATAATTGTGTACTGATAAATCATCAGGGGTGTTGTTGTTTTGTTTTTCCCGCTCCAGAGCCACAGAAGACATTATCAACTGTTTTCACCGCTGAATAAGAACTAACATATTAACTAGTAGACTAGTAAACGTTTATGGTAGTTAAGTGTTGAGTTTACCCGTTAATATTATGTTTGCTACAACTGACTGAATGACGATCAGTTATCACGACGTGTCCGCATTAAATAAAGAGTGACACAGAGGGATCCAGCAGAAGGTTTGGATAGAGAGTATCACACATATGAGATCACAATGTATATGCAGATTCGTATATCATTGTGTTAGCAGCTGGACTGCCATGGTGTTCAGAGCAGTTTATGAGATCGACTGATATTGTCTTGTTCCCTGATTTTGACAGAATAAGCCTGTTTCAGTCTCTCTCTTCTCACATTGATCTGGTTCATGTAAAACGCAGTACGGTGTCATTCCTGAACCGACTGAGATGACCATGTTTCTCACATCCTAAAACAAAGCCAGAAAAAAACCTGTTCTGTTCGATAGTGGGCGTTGACAGTTAGCTACAACTGAATGCGCTCAGTACGAAGGCGTTAGCATTAACGCGACTCCACACAGTTTAAAATTTACACTGTGTTATGTATCAGTGCGCTGTTCACTGTGATAATGAGATGTTCTGTCCTCAGCTGCTTTGTACTTTCGCCTCGTGTTAGAATCCGCTTCTGATGGCACACTGAGGCTGATCTGTCATTGTTCTGAGTTCAACCTGACCACACAACACACACACACACACACACACACACACACACACAACACCACACACCACGCTAGCAAAACACACACACAAGGCGCCCTGCAGCTTGTGCATCCCGCTGGTTAATGTGTATTGACTGAACTCAGTCCTGCTGCCCTCTTTGGAGGCTCATTGACGTTCCCTTCCTCATCATGGTTCTCAAAAATGTAATTTCATGTTTGCGAGGACACCAGCTCCGTCGAGCATCGGACATCAGACCTTTATCTTAAACAGGACCCTGGTTACATAGAGCTTCACACAGAGACACAATCAGACCTAAAAATAAACACTATTTTAGGGAAGATGCTAATAACAGTGTGTTTCTGCCTGCTGGGGAGATGATTTCTTTTTGTTTCGTAGTGTCACTTTTATTCCTTCATGTAAAAGAGTTTGTCTCTTTCTGAATGAAATGCGGACTTGCTAAACTCACTAGGGATAAAATGGATTTCAGCATGTACTGAGCTGTTCTTCGCTGATGATCAGATGTTCCTTTTATGTGATTTAACAGTACATTTTGTGCTGTCTTCTTTATACACGTATCGTCCTCATTAGAGCGCTACCATGATTGACCCATGTCCGTAATCAGAGCAACCTGACCTGCGAACAAAGAACGATAAGGCTCCTATACCTCAAGGACCTCTAACATGAATTTTCATTGTAGCTACCTAATTAACTTTTGGAGTATTATAATGAGTATATAGTTCAGTCTTAATTGAGTTCCAAAACGAGCCATATACGGTTATAGATTGTTCATTTCAAGAAGTTCTTCCACAGCTACCAGGCTGGTACATGAAAAAAATACTTAATAACCAAAACTACCAGCTACAACAGGCCGACTGCACAGCGTAACTCTGTTGTCAAACACCTGAAAAACACCACCTTCTGCTAGCTGGGGTTACATATGTAACATAACTAGTGTACAATCAAGAGACGCGGAAGGATGTTGCATTAAAAGAGGGCTTTTTTTTTGTACAATACAAGCACTTGGATCACATATACTACTTTCTGTGCGAGTATTTTGTATAAATTGTGGAAAAGACCTGTGTGTAGTTAAGCGCCTTCAAATTAGCTTTTCTTCTGGTAGCATTCGGCTTTTTTATTAAATCAAAGTACTTGTGACAGTGTCCTTTTGTTAGTATACTGGCAATTTTTTTTGTGTCTTAAAGGTTGGGTATCTGGCTTCCCAGACCCTCAGCCCCATGACTTTTTTCCAATACAGGGGCATCCACACGAGCCACGTATCCCGCTAGAACGTTAGAGGCAGACGCATGCTTCTGCGTGGCTTGGAAATAAAACTTCGGGCGCAACATATATAGTAAGCAACGAACATTTTCTTCGCCATTCCACTTCAGACGTTTTATGTATTGTCGAAGGCATGCAGGTGCGTATTCCACCCTTTTCTATAAATGGGGTACACTTAAGGATGACTCCGGTGTTATCTGTTCGGTGCTCATGTTACTGTTTAAAAAATAAGCATTGGGTTTTCTTAGCTTAAGCTTTGTTTACCCCCATTAAAGTGTATCGAGCCCATCATGTTCAATGCTAACGTGGTCTTTCCGCCATTTGTAGCAAATCCTCAGTCCACTACACTGAGCGGCATAGATGCAGCTGGCTTCACTACACCCCTATGTATCCCTTCCAAGGTGAGAATAAAAAGTTTTTTTTAGTGATTCTTGCGTTTTATACACAATAGAAAACAACGCTTATCGAGGTCACTACTCGATGCAGTTGGCCTGCCTGAACCAATCTCCTCTTCTGTTTCTTTTATTCCTGCATTTAGGATACCCCAGCAGGATGTAGACGATCCCATCAACACCTTAGTAGTTCTTCAGCGATTCCACGATCTTTGGGGGGGGAAGCTCCAGAAACGTTTCGCCAGATCACTTAACTGTGTAAAGCAATTGATATTCCGGGCGCAATTGAGATGTCAGACATGAACAAGAAATCTTCAATACGACATATCTAGCCTTTTTTTCGTGCGCGAATATGAGTCTGATACCAATATATATTAAATTTGTTCTCATACACTATCACACATAACGGCACTAAAACATCAGAAACCACACACCACCATGCGCAAACAACAACACACCATAGACTGGTAATTGAGGCCTCACTGGATTATCGAGGTTTTTATACTCTGTAACTGACTACCTGTGCGTGTCACTTAGCCCATCAGTTCTGCCTTTCGCAGGGCACGGTGGTGTGGTGAGATAGTGTTCTAGCAATCCATCATCATGAATCTCATGAAAGATATACCCTTGCGTAGACCTCCGAGTTTCTTATCATTTCTCATGTAGACTAACACCAATAACACACATCTTCTATACGGAATTAAAAGTGGTAGTTGTAATAAAGTACTTTCCTTTAAAAATTCATAACATTTATCCCTATTTCTGGCATCTGCT